AGTACACGCAGACCCAAGTTGACCTTAGTCATCATATGCACACAAACATGGGTATAGCCAGCTTCATATTCGCAAATCGCAATATAAACCAGCTAGTAAAGTTGCTTACATCTTTGTGAAATTTGTGTAAACAGGGCAGATGGCGGATTGAATCACCAATTGTGGGAGTCTCCAGACAAACTGCACAGGTTTCATCAAAATTCTCAGTCTGCAAAAAGAGATCAACAACATTAGCAAGGTTCACTGCAGTTTTTTTCCAGCCATTTTAATACAAAGTTTTGGTTCAAGATGATTACATGAACTTTTGATTGCGGGAGGCCATTAATCTGATGGACGGAACAACCACTGTGCTGATCATTGTTGTCGTCGAGAGCCAGTAACATTTCATAATCATTCCTGACCACATAACGGCAGGAAATATTACAAGCTTGCAGAGCTTATTTTCAAAGGTGGAAATGGAAATGTAACCAGATAGCAGACTGGAATGAAGGTTCAAGCCTGGAAGCTGAAATTCGGGAAGTATAAGCTATCCATTGAGGGATTTTTCATTCATATTTCCATAATCAATTACATGGCAGCAGCATGAAAGAAATTTAAATGCTACAATTATGGTGTCATCGAAAGTTCACTATGCCGGCCCCATGGCTGCTGCAGATCAAGTTCTTGAGTTTCTTTATTTCTCAAAAAAAATAAGTAAAATGAACTTGTCAATTGTAATTACAAATGAATTATGATGCAATTGAATGCAAATAGAACCGACAAAACAAATATATGGGGTCCGAAAAGCTAGTTGTGCATGTTTGGTACACTCCTTTTATTAACATGCGTAAGTCGGATGAATAGATTTTTAACATATTACCACCTGGAAATAATGTGACACGCTATAGTAATAAAAGAAAGAAATAATGATCTTCAAGAGCACCCCTTACTACAAAAAAAAAAAAGGTGATTATCGTAAAATGTAAAACCTCGCGCTAATCGGTACACGAACAACTCTTACTCATTGAAATCACGCGGAACTTGAAGGATGCCAGCACTCAATCCAATGTCATTGATGCCGAGGCTCAATCCCATGTCATTGAACTCTTCTAGCGCTCCCAGTATATGCATTCTCTGCAAAATGCAGAAGTGTAACTGGCGAGGATGCAAAAAATAGGAAAAAAAAATAACTAAAAAACTAACAAACATAGGTCTACATCATCCATCATTATTCATGTCGCACTTGCAGGAACTGCTACTCTGATAAAACCAAAAGCATGACACCATAAAGCCAGTTATATACAGGCGCTCCAAACAACGTTAATCTCAGCGTCATCAGCTACTGCAGACTAATTAGTAAAACTTCTATACCAAAACACTCTTTTAATAAGATAATTACGGCCAACAAAAAAAAAA